CGGCTCCTGACTCCCCTCTGACTCTGACTCCCCTCTGACTCTGACGCTCTCTGACTCTAACTCCGCTGCCCCACCCCACCCGCGCCACTCGTCAAATATGCATGCGGCTGGTGGCTATCCGTCGACCGGAGGGCTCAACACCGCCGCCTTGCCCCGCCGCAAAACACGCCTCTGGCGCGGGGAGTTGGCCGGTCTAAGTAAAAAGTTTCTCCAGCGTCGGTAAACAGCAGAAGTCATGGTGCTAAAGATCGCCGCGCCGAAAGGGCAGCACCTGCAAAACACCGCGTCCCGCTCCTGCCAGCCGGTCGGGCACCGCGTGCCTGCGCGAGACAAAGCGTGCGTGAGGGCGCATACGAAAGAAAGAGAATGGGTGTGTCGTTTGTTAAGTGGTCCCCACTCCTTCACTCGCTGTCCATGTAGCGCTAATAGGCAAACAGAGGATAACGTATCAGGTACGTGCGGTGCCGGCAAAAAAGTAATAGATACATGTCGCCATGGATCTGTCCTGTCAGTGAGCCGGCGCGGCCGAGTTTTTACCTCGCGGCCATCCGAACGGCCGGACAGCGGCCTCACAGTGGCTGTGGGGCCAGACAGGAGGTGGGCAGGAGCCGGACAGGAACCGGACAGCGGCTTCACAGTGGCTATGGGACCAGAGAAAGCCCGAGAGGTACCGGACAGCGGCCTCACAGTGGCTGTGGGGCCAGACAGGAGCCGGACAGGGACCGGACAGTGGCCTTACATTGACTGTGGGGCAAGACCGAAGCCCGACAGAAATCGGACAGCAGCTGGAAGACCGGACACGGTAGGTGTCGTGCCGTATAGCCTGGACTGCGACAATAAGAGACCACGACTGCCCGGTGGTTCGACTGCGAAACGGGTGTGTGGGGGGGGGGGGTACTGACACGGGATAAGGGACAGAGCTGGCGCCCTGACCGACCTGGGTCCGGACGAAAAACAAAGGGACACACTGAGACACAGACCGAGATGAGCCGACAATGGTCTGGACGACAGGCGGCTCTGAACTGAGGCCTGAAGCGGTCAGTCGCGTGCCCACAGTCGTGTGACAGCGCATTTCAGAGCTATGGAACTGGCAGTCCCGTGGAAGAACCGAACGACAGTTCGCCCGCAGCACCCGCATTCTGGCGCAGTCTGCGTCTGGGGTCTGGTGAGCGCTGACGGCAGGCCGTGTCTAACCGGTGAACGGTCACCGAGTCTCCGATCGGAGGCCGCCCCGACAGACAGCGGTGCCTGGCCGTCACGGCGGCTGACCGCGTCTGGTGAACAGTGACCGATGACGGACAGGCGCGGCGGGCAGAAACCATCCGTTAGCCGGCAGTGCACGGGTGACGGTTCGAGGCCGTGGGGTGTTTAATGGACGGCCAAGTCCAACAGCATGCCTTGCCGGATGGCGGCCGCGTCTGCGGCGCGTCGCGTCCGAGGCCCGGTCCCGTCCGCTGACGCCCTCCTCGGTGACCCCCGCCCCGCCTGCTGAGGTCGCCGCCGGTCGCCGTCGCCACAGATAGGATTCAGCCGGTGTCAGCGGCGGCGGCGCCGGTGACAGCCGGGCCCATAGGCGCCGTCAGCCCGCCGGCCGACGCCCGCACCAGACGTCCAGCAGACGCTATCGCCAGCCGGGTCCGCTGAATGGTGTCTCGGGCGGCGGCGGCGGCGGCGGCGGCGGCGGCGGCGGCGGACGGCCGCCAGGCGCCGGGAGAGGTCGGAGGTCACCCAGCGCCGGCGGACATCACGCCACAGGAGCGGAGCTCGGCCGGTCACGCCGCGTCATAGTCGCCGGTTAAAAGCCCACGTCATGAGATCGTAATGTGACGTCAGAGTCGGCGTGCTGCATATTGTCACGTGTCAGGCTGTCACGCCAACTCAAAGTCAGCCTGTCGTATATTGACCCAGCCCGCTCGTGCCCTCCACGTGGCGACTGCCGCGGAAACGTGGACGCAAAAGAACTAAGTATAAGGTTTGGCCCACAACACACATGGAAACAGGTGATTGTCGGGTCGGAACAGGAACGACTCAGTCAAATTCACCCACCGCTGGCCGGTGTAATTCCGCCAAAAGATAACGTCACTTCAGTGGCCTCGTTTCCGTACGCCGAGCACCTAATCCCCACGCTCACACTTGGCTTACGCTCCGATAGCCAACCAAGTAACTAGCGGCGACTTTCTTCTCGCATAAATAATGCGCACTTAGCCAAAACTTGGAAATTTGCAGATGGAGGGCATTAATACCACGGCCGTGGAGCATTTCGGTAGCATTAAGCCCATAAATATGCAATGAAGATGGACAGGCGCACTTAGGGAAAGGGATCGAGATCATAAAGGGCTGTAATGGCTGTGTAACCAAAAAGCCCTGCGGTGGAGGTGTTCGGTGCACGTGGGGCTTCTGACTAACGCCGGGGCACGCGAGGCCGAGTCGGGCTCACCGCCGACAGAGCTTAGTCAGCTGTTTCGCTCATTTCACGTTACATATGATGGCTGATGGTGACATGCTTGCATGTTGAGGTGACATATCCAGGCGAAAAAGGCATCACAACGACGTCTCGCTCCGCAAACAAATACAGAGTATGTCAGACTCGGCCGTCAGCTCTGGTGTCAGCCGACGACACCCTCGCATTCCGGCGGCCGCTGGTGGCCCGTGGCCACGGACTCGGCGCCCCACCGGGATCGAGTCCGATCAAGTGCAGCGGCACATGAGACCTCTGAAGACTTAGCGGGGCTCAGTTCTGGATTAGAGATAGATCCGTGCTCTCGCTGAGCCAGAGAAAGCCTGTCGGCCGCTGCTGTCACTGGGCGCAGCGGCCCGCTCTCCGGGCCAGCAATAGACCGGCGCTCCCGCTGGACCAAAGTTCGGAGTTCCTACCCGGACGATTGATGGCTGACGTCTGGACCGGCGATGGGCCGGCCCTGACGTCGCGTCCCACCGGACCGGCGGTGATGTGGTGCCCCTGCCGGAGCGGTAGCGTGGTGCGGTGTTCACGTCGGACCGATGGGGTAGTGTGGCGCCCCATCAGGCCGGTGGAGTGGTGCGGCGTTCACGCCGGACCGATGGAGCAGTACGACACACCCATCAGGCCAGTGGAGTGGTGCGGCGCTCAAGCCGGACCGATGGGGCAGTGCAGCACCCCCGTCAGGCCGGTGGAGTAGTGTGGTGTTCACACCGGACCGATGGGGCAGTGTGGCACCCCCATCAGGCCGGTGGAGTGGTGCGGCGTTCACGTCGGACCGATGGGTCGGTGCAGCACCCCCATCAAGCTGGTGGAGTGGTAAGGCGTTCGCGCCGGACCGGCGGCGGGCCATTCACGGCGCCGGCCACCGACAAATGGAGTTATTAGGTGGGCCGTTTGGCGGCTGCAGGGTGCAGCGGCCGTGATGGACGGCGGCCGCGGCGTCTCACACGTCGTCCGGTGTCTAATGACGGGCGCGGCGGCCGCTGACGGCCGGCGAAGGACGGAGGCCAGCGAGCGTGCCACACCGACACGTCTGCAGTTGCAGCGGACGGCGGCGCCGGCCCCGCCGTGGGAGCGCCCTCGTCGCGCGTCACGGAGACCTGGCGACGCTAAGCTCGGTGAGACCGCGGACTCCCGCGTCCATGTGAAGGGTCGGGGACAACGCGGAGGGATTTCCGGCCTGATTCCACTGAATGTTGTAAAGAACGCGCACGCCCACTCCTCAGCAATTCCATCTCGCCTCGCCGAGGTGACACAACGGCACAAAACGACTCGGCGCTGCCCAGTTGTGACAGGCCGAGCGAGTTAATTGGACGCTTGTTGACCCTCAATTAGTCCAGTCGTACCGACTGCTACACCGAAAATGCATCACAACGCGCAGTGACCGCCCGTGCACCTGTCATTTGCACGCTGTGGCGCTCATCAGCATCGCGCCTCGGTAAACGCGCCTAAACATCAGCCGGGATTGGAGTTCGCACGGAGGCGACGGCGGCCGTCGCTGCGAATCCACTAACTCAGTCGCTTTACGACCTCATGAGGCCAGGAGTGATTACATGGCCGCCGTGTCCGGGACGCTAAACGTTAACTATTAACGACCGAGCCCGCGGTACGGCTGCAAACGTCGACCTCCGCCCCTCCACCGCGCTGCCGCGGCCGGCTTATACCCGTCCCTCCACCGCACCGCCGCGGCCGGCTAATACGCGCCGGGGCATCGCGTGCCGCCGCCAAAAGACGCTCAGGAATTGTTCCCCATGTACCTTTTTGTCCGCGTGCAAATAAAATGTCAGCGCAGCCTGTCCAAACAGGGCCAGGAGGCCATCAAACAGCGTGTGCGGTTGGCCGGCTCCAGGTCAACAGCGGCCGGCTGCCGGCGGGCCCATGGGCCGGCGGGCCCGGCCGGGCCCTCAGCCCGCTCGGACAGCGCGCGATTAGCCTGGCGCGGCGCCCCAGCGCCGGCGCGCCCGCTGCAGCCGTTCAGGAATGCAATCACGGCTTCCCGTTACGGCCGGGTAATGGCGGCATGGTATCGGCAGACCGAATCACATCCCCACCAGCGCCGCCGGCTGATTTGCAGCGCGCTATCAATATTCATCTGCGGAGGCGCCGGACGGGGGCCGGCCGGCAGCGCGATCAGGCTGTGACGCCGTGCCGCCGCGTCACAGCGCGCCGGCTTGCCGGCCACACTCACACGGCCCGGCCAGACTCGGGTCGGCCCCCCGTTTCAGTCCAGCTGAGTACCCTCGGGGTCCACATGGCGGCCCGTGTTCGCGCCAAGAAAGCGTCAGGCGCTTCTATGTAAACGGTACGTGAGACGTCCTCAGGGTCAGACAGGTCGAGCCCGCTGATGAGGCTGCTGAGGCGGTCAAGAACGGGCCAGTAAGTGTGAAGGCTATTGAGGTCATGCATGATTCAGCGAAGCCCGTGTGATCAGCTCTAGCTCAGTCAAGCGGCAAGTCCATCTATAGATATCCGGGTCAGCGCGGGCCAGAGACGCGCGTGGGTACATGGCGGAGGCTCGACCCGCCCGACGCCCGCTCACCATTCTCGTCGAACACGGGCACGCCGCCGAAGATGTTGGGCCGGGTGGAGGGCAGGCCGGCGGCCACCAGAGCCAGCAGCAGCAGGAGGCGGCGCCGCCAGCGCGCCATGATCGGCCGGGGGCGCTCCGCTCACATGGCGCGCCGCTCCCAGGGCCGCCCCGTCGCCGGCGCGTCCGTCCGTCCGACCGCGTCCAGTCGCGTCGCACTCCCGCGCCAGCCGGCGCACAGCGGCGCGGTACGGGCACGGTCGGCGGTGCTGCCGCTGCTCACCGCGGTCCGGCCAGCACTGGCGCTCGCGCCCGCGCCGCCGCCGCCGCCGCCGCCGCCGCTGTCGCTGCGCCGCCCAAATCGCAGCCGGACGAGTGCGGCGGCGTGTGCCCACGGTAAACACGGCGTCCGCTATTAGGGGTGAATGCATGTCGAGCGGAAGGGAATTGAGTGCCGGCGTAATTACGGCGTGGGCATGGGCGTTCGTGCGCGTGATGACCGCGGCGGGGCCCGAGCTGACAGCCAGATGGCAGCGGCCGGCGATATTCGGAAAATAGCAACGCGCAAAGTCGAACCATTTTGCCATGGGTTGCACTGGCTTAATCCTGACCGTTCCACAGGGAATGTATTCTCAAAAGCATGGTGGAAAAACAGGGGATTCCATAACTGTCCAATCATGGTCAAAATTTGGATATATTTTATTACGTTACACTGGTCTCCACACTGTGCCGGCACCACGGCACCACCATAGGGAGGCATGTCGAGCCAGAAATCCACTTCGGTGCATTCCGGTATATGAACTATGCGTATGGACGTAGTACAGCAATGACAAATAAGGGTTTTTCCCACCTCAATACCGCAACAGACACCAGATAATGGCATCAGTCACAACCGCGCATTTCGCGCTATGCTCAGCAGCATGCTACGGAAGAGCACGCAACACGTGACTCCAGACATGAGATAACTTTGCTTGATGCAGGTGATGTCATACCACGTCCCTGAAGGAGTTACATGCAGCTTAAGCGCCTATGGACACACGTAAGCATCTGTTGCCCTTGGCAATCACGTTTGGCGCAAATGTCACCAAACCTCTCGTTTAATGAGTCGGGCCTATGAGGCCCTTTCGAGCCAAAGACGTTTTTAAGTTCTGCGCTCTGCTGGCTATCTGCTGCACGCCGCGCTAAAAAACAACAACAGGGACTTCCAAACTGGCATGCGCACTGTCGTTTCACAAAGGTCTGCAAAGCCTGTATATCGCAGCGACCACGACTGATTGCCATATCCGACGGACGGCTCCAGTTCTGCGGCCACGCAAAAACCGACGCCGAAACAAAAACACTCAATTACCAGGCACGTGGGGCGACTGCTCGCCGAAAAACCACCCGGAAAAACCTCGACATGGATAATTGGCAAAACTTGGCGCGGCCCGGACGCTAATGGTTTGCCGAGAGCGAGCGAGCCTGTTGTTCCGGTCTGCGTCGGCGGCGACGGCTCATCTCCGTCGGCAGAGGCACCGGCTTCGGCGAGCAAACGCGGCTCGATACAATCGATAGCAGGCCATCAGGGCAAGACACGCACCCTGCCCGATTCTCCCAGACGGCACATGCAAATTTGATGGCACAGGAATGGGCGCCGACAGAGACCGGCGCGCTCCACGTGGCCTTTGGGGATGGATTGGGCTTTGCTTCGAGATCATAATGTCTCGGAGACCTGGTTACGCCGTAAACAAGCTAACATCCAGCCCAAGCCAAGTAGGCGTTACCAACGATCCTGTTTACCAGCAGGAAAAAGGGAACCTGAATGAAGGCGAGCGGAGCTTATTCTTTCTACTGATTGCTGTAGCGTCCGCTTCGGCAAATCTAACGGACACAAGCCAGCAGAGTTTTTGTATTTGTCACATTTTCAACGCCCGTAAATGCCTGTCCTTACTACAGCCAGTGAGCTGCTCCTTGGATGATATGTAACCTTCATAAAATCTTCTTGCGGATGAAAACACACATTATACCAACGCACTACCTTCATTACAGGTACACGCTTTGACTGAGAGCCCACCTACCAAAAACACAGTGCTCTCCAAACCCAATTATCCTCAATAAGCATTACCATATGCATCAAAGTGGGCGGACTGTTTCGATCCTCCTACCTGAAATGACTGTGCCACATTGAAGGAACCGTTTGCGGCGTAGCGTGTTCTTACCCTTGCCGGAGATAAACGTAGCGTGTGAAATATCTCTGATGCACTGTCACGTCGCCGTCGTCATTGTGGCTTTACGGCGCGTTCAGCTGCTGACACTGTCACCGATGGAGAGCCATGTAAATGATGCGAATGGTGGTACCGGCAGCCGCTGCAAAAGGCTTCAAAACAGCGCCACTTCCAGCATACCTGACTTCGGGACATCCGTCTCCCTAATATTTCATTCCAAGAGTGCCGCCCCCACCCGACATAAACTTCCGCGTCGAACACCAGATGGCGGACCAGACCAGCTGGCCCGGCAGACCCCGGGCCACTGGACCGGGCCCGGCCGGGGGTGACCTGCCGGCCGCCGGGTCAGCGGACGTGACCTCGTCCTCGTCCTCGTCCTCGTCCCCCGGGCTACGTATCGGTTAGCCCTGGGCCGCGCGGTCCAACCGCCGGCTCCCCCGCCCAGGCGGAGAGCTCGGCACCAGCCGCGACCGGTCTGCTCACGGGTGAGCTGGCTGGCAGCGGTGAGCTGGCTGGCGCGGGTGAGCTGGCTGATGTGTCAACAGTAGTGAGTGGGCTGATGTCAGATGGAGGTTGACTCCAGGCGGTAATGACGACATGCGGTGGCGAGTTGGCTGACGTCACGCGATGATGGGTTGGCTAACGTCATGTGGTGGTGAATATCCTGACGTCAGGAAGTGATGGGTTGGCTGACATCATGTGGTGATCAGTTAGCTGACGTCCTGACGTGATGCGTTGGCTGTGTCGGGCTTTGGTGTAAAGGACGACGTCAGGTGTTGAAGAGCTCGTTGTCATCAAGCGGTGGTGAGATGGCTGACGTGGGGCGGCACTCCCGCCTGCAGGCGTTACCAGAGCTCGGCGTCATCAGAACCCATAGTCACCAGCGGTCATTACCAGCGCCATCACCTCCGGAGGCCTGTCAGGCGGGGCTGTGTTCACAGAGGCGTTCCCGTGGCGACGCCGCGCCTGTTTTGGTCAGGGCGCCCACTTTGGGCGGGTCGGCGCGCCGCGCTGCATTGTGCCGATTGCGGCTCTCTCCCGTCCCACGACGGCCCAGATGCTGCTGACGCGCGCCCAGCGCCATCGCATGGGCGCACCGCCCAGACGTACAAAGGAAGCCAGGCTAGCCTGGCATACAAAGGAAGCGAGGCTGGCTGTCGGGGCAAACTTCGCAGGACGGGAGAGAAAATCTGATCGACGTACAATCTGGCAGCGGTCGTGTATCAAGGCTACATTGCTATCTCCTCAGTGACGCATCCACTGGTGTCTGGTGAACGGCGGATCGACGGTGGAGACGGCAGCTGACGGCGACTCTCCATCAGCAGCGCTGCGTCCGGCCACCGCTGCCCTCGAGGGCTGGCTGCCGCACGCGCGCCGAGCCTCCGGGGGGTCGGCACGACACCACTCGGCAGCTGACACGCACGCGGAGCTCGGCGGCCGCTGCCCCCGGTGGAGCTGGCCCGTCATGGTAGCGCGTGACAGCACCGGGGACGGGGAGAGGCCCGACGCTGCGCGAGACAGCACCGGGGCCAGGGAGAGGCCCGGCGCTGCGCGAGACAGCACCGGGGCCAGGGAGAGGCCCGGCGCTGCGCGGAACAGCACCGGGGCCAGGGAGAGGCTCGGCGCTGCGCGGGGCAGCGCCGGCGTTGGGAAGAGGCCCGGCGCTGCACGGAACAGCACCGGGACCAGGGAGAGGCCCGGCGCTGCGCGGAACCAAACCGGCGCTGGGGAGAGGGCCGCGACGCGTGGGACAGCCCCGGGGCTAGGCGCCGGTCGCGAGGAGCGCCGGCCGGGCGGCGCAGCTCAGGTCGGACGGCGCCGGCCGCGACGGCGCACACTCCATCAGGGGCGCGTCCTGCAGGACGGCAGCCACCTGGCGCGCAGCGTCTGCCGGCCGCGTCAGCGGGAGCGGTGTCGCGGCCGCGGACACGACAGCGGACACGGACGCGGCTGAGCGCGGCGTCGGCCGCCGTCAGGCCCGCTGTCAGCCCATGGGCAGGAGGACACGTCTCGAGTCGGGCGGGCGGGCGGGCAAGAGCGCGCCACCCCGCTCAGGTGACGCCGGCGTCCAGCCGTGCAGAGGTGCGACACCCGACACCGCCCTCGCCGCCAGCTGATGTAACCCCGACAGTCGACCACGGCTGGTAAATCAAGATTACCTCTGTCGCGACCCGGGCCCGATCTGACATGACGTCGCTGCGTCGCTACACGCTAACGTCGCGGTCAGAGAAAGTAAGACGAGCCGGCAACATCGAGCATGTCTGACGCCGAACTGCAGCGTCATGATGCCAAACTTCTGACCAGAAGTGCCGCTGAACCCAGCCCCAGCCAGCTCAGACGCCAGCACACGCCGAGCGCACGGCAGCAGCTGGCACCGACGCCGGCTGGCGGCGCTGCGCGCGCCAGCACGCTGGGGCCCTGGCGGATACGGTGGAAAGAGGGAGACGGGCGCTGCTCTGAGCCGGCCCAGCCTGGCGTACAACAAATTTACCTGTCAAACCGAGAGTGTAGCCGGCGAATTAATCGCCGTTCGACAGCCGCGACCGCGCCCGGAGCCGTTCTATCGGCTTTGGCGCATCCCATTATGGCGCGATCCGCCCGCGCCACAACGGACGGCGTGGCGCAGACCCTCAGACCCGTGATTGGTGCGATGGGTGGGTCTTCGGGCGAGGTGGGCTGGACCGGACGTGGACGGAGTGCGCCTCTCAACCGCCCCACCGTATCGCCTCTATAGCCATACGCGGCGGCCCAATGCCATTTTTACAGGCGTAATGTCGCCGACAGTCAAGATAATCCCATGATTGCGAGAGAAAGCTGACGGTCCGATTCGATAAGCACATCGCATGTCAAAGCCGAGGAATGCGTTGGTATCATGCAACGTTATGCAGGCAAATCTTTGGCAAAATTGGGTTAATCGAACGCAGAAGGTACGATGTTATGAGTTATTCAAATATAAACCAAT